GCCCTTTCTCCATTTCCCGGCGCGATCTCTTCCTCCATCCCGTTCCCACCTCCTTCGCTCCTCGACCACCTTCGAACCTTTTCGCATCCTCTCGAGGAAGAACGCGAGAGAGGAGAGACTCGATTGCTGGCTAATTAGCTCGCCCCTCGTAATCGAGCTCGTAAATATACGGCGGATCGGTAGACCCGGCAACTCTGTCAGATTCGCAGAGGATGAGTATATACGGCTGTTGCACGGTATATACGGCTCGAAGGGACAGAGGGATCTCAGGCGAGACCGGGACCAATAAGAGATAACCGTGGCCACGCGTGCATCTCTCGCCTTGCATCTCTCGCGATGCATCTGCGGAGCCGGATTGCGACTAGGACTATCGCTAAGGGGGCCCTGCGTAACCTTCGCCCATGAAACGTGTAACACACTTCGAGTCGATGACCCGTATATATACACGTTGCACATTAATACGACGGTGCGAGATCTCGTTTCTCTCATTTGCCTTAAGGAACATAATTAGTAGGACGTTTAGACGTGAAACTTTCGAAAATTTCGAAAGGACGTGGCGTTCAATCAAGCGTTCATTCGTTATGTATATCTGTTATCTGATATACCTTGTGTATATGCCGACTGATTTATCGTTATTAGGCTGCTTGATAGATTTATATCTATTTCCCAGTGATTTATAGACGAGGAAGATAAAACGCAATTTACATTTTAATCGATGACAAATATTTCTTCATTCAACTCAACAATGTCTGGTTGTCATATCACGATTCTCTCTTTTGCTCCACCTGTATGCTCGACCTGGAAGTCGATGACAACTTTAATAAACACGCAGGAGTATATACGGACTGATCTGATATTTATTCTTGTACCCACACGCACGCATTCCTGCATTAATTTCAACCGTTTGTACTGTTGCAGATTTTCCCAGTGCTGTAAAAAGGCTCTTGAAAAATGACATTCTGATGTTCCGAACTGCGAGCAGTGTGTTACACATCCTGCCGATTGCTGGTCTCTACACCTTCCTGCCAAAATATCTCGAGAGCCAATTTCGCCTACCGGCTCATCATGCAAACATGATCTCAGGTAATTATCGCGAATGAACATGCGAGTGGTACCCGGGGAACCCCGAAACGTATCCCCAATTATATTACTAATGGCATGCATACCGTGAGAGATGAATCGTGTCCAGAGTAACAGGCGACGATGTCGTTCCCGAAAGTTCGGGCGTGCGACGTCGCAAGATTTCGCCGCCGGATGTCCGTCGCGATTACGACGCAAAGTGGATAATTTGACGTAAACGTCAGAATGGTCGTGTCATTTCGCTCACGAAAAAGAATTATTCTCTCACTTCGTTCATCGTGCAGGAAGTCGCAACAAAATCTGTTGGCCAATCAAACAGAATAATCTAGCATTATTACTAATTCTTCGACTTAAGAAAACATGTAATTTTCAACGACATTACGTATTTCTGTTTCTTTCTTTTTTTCCCCTATTTTTATTTGAAAAAAATTAGGCTTGTAACGAATGAATAATACTAAAACGGCGTAATGGAAGATGCTAGCAGCAGCGGTTTTCTTGCGTGCGTAACAATAATGGATAGTTCGACATAAACGGTAGTACGAACTCGTGCGTATCTCGGTATTAATTGTACAGTATCTTATTTTACGTGTATGCGCGTGCTAATTTATGATATTGTCTGCCGAGTAATTGGCGCCGGCTGTAGAACAAGGCTGTGCCGTTTCTACATTCTACTATCCGTCATTTTACGCTCGGGTATTATTCGAATATATACAGCGAATAATTTGACAGAACTACCGCTGTTGCGTTGTTGCTACTGAACCGATTTCGAATTATTTCGTAGCTTCTCGCAATGGAGATATAACATATTAAACTATTTAAATTACGAGTAAAACATTTCAATTCTGAAATATCACGGTAAATCTTTATTTATGAATTATTTTTTTGATATTTGTGCTATTTTTTTCAATTATCGAAAACGTGAATGCTTTATTTTTATGATAAATAAAATAAAATAAATTAGACAATAAAATTTATTCAACATATTGGATAAAATATTGAATAACGTATGTAAAACGTATATTAATAGTATTATGCAATTGTTGAATTCTTTTTACGTAAATATAATTGTATTTTACACTATTTATTGTATTCAGATAATTTAAAAAGAGGCGTATTTCTATTCAACGCGAGATTGTGTTGATTTTTATTAATAGAGTCTATTTTAATAAAGTGACTATCATCATCCTTGAGTTCCCATGACTAGATGCTTATGACGCAGAGCATGAATTGCCAGGTGAATGGCTCTGAATGATTGTATAATGAGCACGATTTTTTGCGCAGGTGTTGGTGGGATCCTAGTGATGGGATTGGGCATCATAATTAGCGGCGTGTTTATCTTGAGGGCGAAACCCAATGCCAGATTCGTCGCAGCCTGGATCGCCTTCACCGCGGTCGTTTACGCGATCGGCATGGGTGTGCTAATGTTTATTGGTTGTCCGATGGATGACTTCGCTGGACTTGTGTCACATCCCGATGGGTAAGTGATTTTATCCAACAGAATTTAACGAATCGTCGCTCCAATAATAATTACATTCAACGCGGATGTCATCGAAAAACGTCACGAATTACATTACGAATATATAAATAAAATTATTGATATATAAATAAATGTATATTAAATGAAAATAATATAATATATTAAATATAAATTTATGATAATATTATATTAGCATAATTGAGTGTCATCACGAAATCAATCAAGTTTTCTATTAATTTTAGATTTATTATCGAGGATAATAAATTTAATAAAATTTGTATTTTAGTGCGTTTTGGTTTTAAAATAGTTTTTCTATTAAAATAAAGAGTACAGAAAAAGGCAGAAGAGAGATTTAGAATAATATACAGCATCCGCAATTAGAATTCAAGAATTTTAAATGTGGACTCTACGTTCTCGGATTCAATGGATCATATGACACGAATCCATTTTGCATTTTCATATTCCTTTCGATAATATCGTCGCTTGACGATTTTTTTCAAAAGTATTCAACTCGTGTCAGTAACATCGTTACGAAACTATCGCGATTGCCACTTCGTATTCAAACGCGCGACTTGGCGGTCGGTGTTTAAGGAAAGACAACGTGTTCGAATGCGTGTCCGATTAGAATGTGCATCGTAAATACATGTATCGGAAACGCACGTAGACCCTCGTCTTCCCTTCTCTTATTTACAAGTCAACGATATCTCCTGGTTCCCCTAAATACATATATTTCGCTCTTCTGATTTGGACTTCTCGTTTATCTGCCCGGCGCGAAAGTGGGAAAACCTCGACAGTGACTTTCGGTGATCTGGAGCACTACGTCTCACCGAGCGAAATAATCCGTGATCATTTATTAAACGTGGGCAAATGCAGATTTTTCTTTTAATAACAAAAATTTAATTGATCCTAATGAGTCTTGATTTTTCATAATTGATTCTTGCATAACTGTGAATAGCAACCTTTTTTAGCCTTCTTTTTTCCACCAGAAACTTTTCTCCAACTTTCTCTTTCCCTTTTTTTTTCTGAAATCTAAATTTTCTCTATTTTTATATTACGTTATAAAAATTATAGAATTTTAAGGATCGAGAAAAGAAGATGTTAATTAAGAAAAAAGAGATATTAATTAATTTGACATATATTTAAGACATAATTTCTAATATTTAAGCTACATTATAAGCCGACATTTTCTTAACTTAAACAAGATATTTCGTCTATGATAATTACTTATTGGGCTGTTCTTCTTTATCTAATTAATGAAGATTAGCTTCTTTTAATAATTAAGCAAACGCATTTTAATCATTAATCTATTTTCCTATCAGGACGAGTTGTCTTAAGTAAGCAAAGTAGACAGTTAAATTAAATAAAAATAAGACGTAGTTTAGTTTACAAAGCGAAGTTGATCTACAAAGTGACCTGTTTTTGCAGACTCTCCAGCTTCGAGCCGACCTGTGAGGCGACCTGCGACTGCGATCGGAACAAATTTAGTCCAATCTGCGGTGCCGATGGTAAAACGTATTTCTCTGCGTGTCACGCAGGTTGCTCGAATTATACGGTTGCTGACGGCAAAGTGGCATCGGTAAGTGTTAAAGCCCAGTAGAACCGGCATCCGACAAGACATGCTCTGATGACATGTCTGCTTAAACGAGATTATATGGGATACGATAGTAATTGAATCGCTCTTGGAAACATCAAGAATTGGAACTGTTGCGAATTCATTCGGAAATCAACGCAATCTCTCATTTTAGTTTTTTATTTGCAATGATATTTAAATAGCGTCACGGTTGTTAAACAAAGATAATTTTAAGCGCACTGTCTTATTCCGTATTTCTTGAATCCTTACCAACGAGATTTAATTCTCTGAGCATAAATATCTATTGTGAGTAATTTTGTCTTTTTTGAAGTGAAATATTATTCAGCAGTTATGCACATTAGACGCAATAAATTATTATCTTCGCTATAACTTTTCTCTTCTGATGACGTTATTTGATATTTCACAGTTTTACAATTGTCAATGCATCGGAAATGTTACGATATCACCGGAAGTAATAAACACAGCGTCGATCGGTTACTGTGCACTGGAATGCAGTAACTTTTGGGTTTATATGATCCTGTTCTCGGTCTTCGTTTTTATTCACTCCACGAGCGAGGTTGGCTCTATGTTGCTCATTCTACGATGCGTGGATCCCAGAGATAAGGCTATGGCACTCGGTCTGATACAATTCGCCATCGGCTTGTTCGGTAATTATTTGCTGAAAAATTTTTTTCAATAATAAAAATACAAATCATGGTGTGGAATTTTTGTACGAAAATTTACTTGTCCCAAATAAAGGAGAAAGCAAATGAATAACTAAATTTTATATAATTTTTGGTTTGAAAAATAGAAAAGATTAATTATTTATAGAGACAGATTTCAGAATTCCATAATATAATGTGTAATTTCATTTGAATTGAAAAAGAGATAAATCAACGAAATAAATTGACGTAGCGAAGGAATTGAAAATTCTTAATTTCTTACCGTTCTAAAAATATCTTTTTAACAGTATCTTTATTTCTTCGCTTTAGGCAATGTTCCATGTCCTATCGTTTATGGTGCTGTGGTGGACTCCGCTTGTCTCGTATGGGAATACGCTTGCGGCGAGCGAGGCGCCTGTTGGCTTTACGATTCGAACGTCTTTAGAATGTTCTATCACGGTACGTACGACTTAGACATGTGTAAAAAAAAAATCTTACGTTACCGAAAAAAATGGAAAAAGTAGATTAAGAGATTCCAATATAATTAGAGTATTTACGAAGAAATATCATTGAATTTTAATAAATACTCGCATTATTTTTTGATAATACAGTAATTAATATTTGATTGATTATAGCTTGAAATGTTAATGAGATACAATTAAAAAACTAAATAAATTAAGATTACGAGGAAAAATGTATTCTTTAAACAACGGCGAAATTTGTTGTGTTATACGCTAAATTGAGTATAAACCCAGATTATGTAATATATCGATTGAATGTTTCTTTTGCAGGTACTACAGGCGGTATCCTCATGTTGGCCTTCGTGGTAGATATAGTCGTCTGGTACAAGGCCGGGAGCATAAGCTTCGTGGAGGAGCAGGAGGGCGAGACAGGTACTGCGGAGGAAATGGCGACGTTAAAATCGCAGGACGCTCAAGCAGTCGAGAACGACTATTTGTGAAGGTTTCGTATTACTCTTTTGCGGTGAAGGGCCGCGACGGCGACATTATCATCGTCGTCGTTTAAGGATGCAACGCAGTGTCGTAGGATACGTAGGGGCATCGTCCTTCACAAATGGTGCCAGTACAGCTCGTCGTGCTTCCCAGAGACGGCTTTCCGAGACGGAAAGATCGACTTGCCGGCGATTACACGCATCCGAATGGAACTTTCCTCGAAAGAGTTCCGTTCTGATGGGCAGGAAGTCTAGTCCCTCTTGTCGATGGCATCCGAGCATAAAGAAGCAGACTTCGCATGAATCACAGGAAGACCGAAGTCGCAAGACGACTCGGACAATTTTGATTCGGTAACTCGGAGAATCAAAACTCAGTTACGCGATGAGACAGGGAGAAAAATTGAGTTTTGAAGCATACAGAAGTAATGAACGCGCGATAAGAAAGAACGAAGACACGGAAGAAAGAGGGGCTCGAGGCGAGCATACTTTGTCTGAGCATCGCAACGTAATATAAGTCCCTCGAGTGCGCCTTGGAAAAGTTAGTAGGGGTTTCTCTCTCAGGGAAGCTTGTCAGTAAGTACACGCAATAAAAGTAATACTTCCGTGCCTATGAAATGACCGTGTTTGCGGCGAGCACGCGGTCCGCCGCACCAACAGATCCGGGGAATCGAATCGAATCAAAGCAACACGAGCGGCCTCGCGGGTGGCAGTGAATGCGGTTCGCATGGACAGACAGTGAGGGATTGCCTCGTGCTTTGCACCGGCGTTGATTAGTATATGACGGCGTTCCCGCCGCGCTCGCGCGCGTACACGCGCTATCTAACTCTCTAACGGTAACGTTACCGTGATGCAAAAGGAAACACAGGGCATTTACGTAGATTGTAAATGTAGGTTTTTTTTTTTTTTTTTTTTTAATAGATTTAAATAAAAATTTTAAACAAGGAGATTACGATCAAAAATTAATGTACTGACATCTAATTTGTTTTGTATTTAATATTTTTAAGTACCCATAACTTTGAGTACAATAACTTTGATAACAATAAGAAAGTAAAAAAGTTTTTTAACTAAAATATAATTGCAAAATTTTATTGTTTGAAAAATTATGACATTTTTAAAGAACGTAATATCTTAAGTGTACATGTAATACAAATTTTTTAATATTATACATATATAACTATTTAAGTAAATATAATTCCTAGCGAAAAACAAATTTTTACGAAAAAGTACAGAAAAATTACATAGGCTGAGACAAGATTTTAGAAACTCTTAATTTTTCGTAGATATTCGTAGTGAGACGTAGAGTGGCGTTGTTTGAAGGCGAATAATTTCTTGGTTTTTCAAACACACAATGCTACTCTACGTCTCATTACAAATATTTATGAAAAACTAAGAATTTCTAAGATCTTGTCTCAATCTATGTGGCTTTTCGTAAAAATTTTCCGTCAGGGATGGCTATTAACTATATGAATTTACTACTCTTTTAAAACACATTTGGTTAGCAGTTGATTAATAACTACGATATCGAGATTTTGCTATGATTTACTATATTGGAACAGACTTTTATTGATTATTATAAAAACAAAAATGCATTTATGAACATTACCGCAGATTTATTACAGTTTTTATGTTGCAATCAAATCTATTATTGAATTTTTTAATATCATTATTATTATTAAATTTAAGTTAGGTCACAGGTCTGTCTGATTTAAGCTCCAGAGCCAAAACGTAAAGCCATCCATGCAAAAGAATTCAATGTGACTAAGATTTCGGGAACTGTAAAGTGTTATAAGTATCATTCAAATGCATATCAACACTTTATAGTTCCCGAGATCTTATTACATTGAATTTTTTTGCACAGATGGCTTTGCATTTTAATTCCAGTGCTCAAATTGGACAGGTCTGAGTTAAGTGAATATAATATATATATATATACATATACATATATATGTATATATAAACTCTTAAAAAACTTAGATATCTAAAAATATAATCGATAAATTGAGATGTTTTTCAGTAAATTGAATCTTTCTTAAGTCTAAGTTAAAGAGTCGCAGATCTTTTACAGACATTGCAATCTAAAATTCAAACAAATAATTATAGTTGATATGCCTTGTATTTCCTTTTCAAAAATAACATGTTTTCAAGCGCATTACACTGTGCGTTACATTTCTCAGGCGTGATTATTTCCGAAAATACGTAAAAAGTAAAAGAGACGAAGGAAAACTGCCGATCATTCCATTCGATCAATCGTTGCGATAGGGAGGCTTCTTCTTCATGGTTGCAATGCATAAAAAGCAGGCAAAGGATCTATAATTATATACATGTAAAAAGTGTATATTTCACATACATAGATTTATAATGTACAGCTTAAATCGTCGATTTTGGTCAGTCGGTCCTCGACCGCTCATAAACGAACGTACATGCTTTGGGTATGCGCTCGCGTGCATCTCTGCTTTAATCCTTGCGTGTATTCTCTCTATTGATGTTCTGAAAAAAATCATCGCGATGACTGATGTGCCGGGTTTTCGCACGGACGCCTCGCGAAGGTAGAAATTATCTGCGAAGCATTACAGAGAAACCAAGCGCCGAGTGAGAACGATACAGATCTAAACTGCAATGCATAAATTTCAGAAAAGGGAGAAAAGTCGACTGAAATCCTGTAATTAAATTTAATTTTTTATTAAATGATAAAAATCGTGATTGAAAAAAATAACGTATGCCACTTTGTTCATTGCATAGAATGATTACTAATTAATAATTGTTAATTAACAATTGTTAACTAACGATTACTGTAGAAATATCTCGAAAGAGATACAATCGTTTATTGTCATTACATATTTACGTATAATTTAGATTTGTTATAAACACGTTTTAGATCTATATTATTCTCGGCGCTTTTCGTATACAAATAATGTGGTTATCTAACAATTAAAAACTATAAAAAGTATAACGTAAGTGTAGTATGTATCGACTGTTAAAATCAGAAATGTAGAATAGCGAGATAATAAGTCATGATATAATATGCTAAGGATTAACGCAGCAAAAACGACTACCTCCTAATGTACTGTACATCTCATTATTGTTAAAACAGAGCTCATTATTGATAATTTAGTTGAAAACTTTGCAAGATGGTGAATGATTAATTACTGCATCGAAAGATTAATTATTTATCTCGATGCAGATGACTGTTTTGACAATAATTCACGACGTACGAGCGAAATTCGAGTATGCTCCATAAATTAGTAATATATTTTTATGTAAGAATATCGCATCCCTGAAACATGAAGACGTTCGTTTTGAGCGGCCCAAAATATTTTCGTTCCTTTACACAATTTATTCTCGATTTGCGCTATTAATAAATTTTTGAATACTGGTGTCTAAATAAAATTTCATAAAGAGAAGAATTTTTAAATTTGAACAATAAACTTTTGGATTTTATTCGAATTCTTTTTTATATCTTTGAATTAGTTTCAAAAAATGTTTTAAGAAGTAATTCGAATTACATCAATCTTCAATTTTGATAAACTCACATGAAGAATTGCAGAATAAATTTATTTTATATTGTGTCAATTAATTTAAAAAAGTACAATTTTAATTATAAAGATTATGCATTTCGCGGGTTTTCTCCGTACCCAGATCCATTCTTGGAATGCCAACGTTTCGTGAACCTTGTAGTCCACTTCATCAGGGCGAGGAGTAGCTTGATACTGAGCTGTTCCTCGAGGTCGTTCCTTTTATATTACAATTTTAATTAATTTCAAACATAAATTCAGCCTATTCAATTATATTGAATAATTAAATTATTTGATTTTATAATTATTTAAAATTATTTCTGGTGATAATTTGATAACGCAAATCAAGATGTACACAAACCGCATTTATTTGTTTCTCTTTTAAGAATTGATAGAACACACACGTACACATACACAGATATGATTATCATATTTGGAACTCTTGTTGGATCTCGGTTGACCTCTTAGGCACTACCGTCCGTGTGTTACACTTGTGCATAAAGTACTATTATGATAAATATACATAGGCGTTACATGTAGAAACTTGTAATAAATATGCTATGACTGGCGAAAGTTTCCAGTGATGCGGAAGGAAAGAAAAAGAAAAATAGTGGGAGAGGAAAATAAGAGAGGTCGACGAGATCGAAAGCGAAGATACATATGATACATACGATATTTTTAGATAATTTGACGAAAACAGAAGTAAGATAAAAAGAACAAAAGTAAGTTTATTATTATTATTCTTATTATTATTATGATTATTACCATCATCATTGTCGTTGTTATTATGATTATCGTGCTAATGTGCCAGAGCGGCATACGCGCAAAATGCGAGTCACACATACAAAAAGAAGAAAGAAAAGCAAATGAAAAATTATTAAGAAAACCTGTATTTTAATATGATACACTTTACACACGTGAACATGCTCATCAATGTCTGATTGTCTATTTGAGTACTTTCTAGGGCATCGCGCATTTTTTTTTAATAACGAAAATAGACGTCTTAATAGCAATGCATACGTTTTTCGTATCTCTAAGGATTTTCTGCATTTATATATATGTAGAAGAAAAGGTGCGCATTTAAAATACGCATTAGTCAAGCAATGAAATAATTTAAAAATTATCTAATTTTGACGATTGGGAAAATTTCTGCATAAAACGAGATTTTCTCTTTTTTGAGCTATTAGTAACATAAAAATAATCATTTCAAATCTCTTGAACAATATTCTAAAGACAGATGATTATTTTAATATTAGACAACTTTTCCAAATGGAAAGGGCTATTAAAATATCGAATACTCCTCATGTTTCGATAATATTGTTTGGATTTTAGATGACTGATGCAGTCGCCAGTTTAAATATAGTACATGAATCATTTATACATGTGGATTGGCAATTCTATTCTCTTTTTTATACAATTGGTTTTCTCTCTCGTCGATGCTATTAACCCTTAAATACAAACATGATTTTATAATTATAATACTGGTGTAAACTGATATAAACTCGCAGTTCTTTTTGTCTGAACATGTAAGCTTTATACGTTTATATACCTATTCTATGATTTTTTCTGAATCCTTTTTGAATATTTTATCTGAATGATTTGTATTTAAGGGTTAATTCACTTGAGTGTGCGATTTACCGCGTAAACGAACGGGAAATATATTTTTGGAGATTTTTATGTTTTTGAGGCAGTTATGTGTGCATTTCTCCATTGATCCTCCCGAGAATTGGAGTTGATTGCGCGATCTGACGTGAGAACGATAAAAATCAATATATAGTATAATGCATAATGTTATTTTATAAAAGATACTTATTGATCTACATGTACTAATCTCCATTTGCTGTAATCTCGATTATTATGGGACAAAACTGTAATAGTTTATTTGAAATTGGATTTTAAGGCGTCTCGAATGCATCTCTTCATGCATTTATCATAAAATCTGCCGATTTCTTCTTTAGAGCGAAGATATGTAATTTTATTTATCAGCCGGATGAGCAGCGAAACTACTTTATTATAATTAGCGAGGCACGATGAGTATAGTTAATTAAAACAAGCGATTTGGATGAATAATTAATATCACTTTGGAATATTTGCAGCTGGAAGAATATGAGTAGAAGTGATGAAAATTTAAAATTTTTAAAAGCACCCAAATGTTCGTCTTTCTTAAACTTAATATTGTATTCTGTTTACTTTATATTCTTTTAGCTGCACATTGTCAAATGGTATTGATTAATCTCGATTGATTCCACGGATATATAAATTCGATATATACTGTATGGAATAATCATTCGTGATCGTAGAGGGTCGTATATGAATGACCGCATACGTTGCATTACTTTCGTGCGGTGCTGCTGACCGAGAATCGTATTTTTGTATATTCGCGAAAAAATTAATAATCTATATTTTAAACGAACACGGTGCAGCACAGTACGACATACATGGGGATTACGTTCAACTGTAATTCGAAATGTTATGCAGATTCGGATATACAGTGGAAATATATTAAATGTTGTAAATATCTACTCTCAAGTTTCGAGTGTATTTGTGAATTGTAATACCCGTATAAAAGCTTCTCGATGATCAAAAGAAAAATTCAGACATCACGTTAATTAATAATTCGTGTAATTAAAATGATTACCGTTATATCTATATACGTATACTTATATCGTATAGAAATCGTAACTTCGATCGATCGAATAAATATTTTTCAAATCACGTAGATCGTAGATTTACGCTGGAATCAACGGTGATCAGCCGCGTGTACAAAATATAATATTAATGCGGTTTCTCTTCCCTCTATCGATCAAATCTTTTCAACTTCGTGACGATTTCGTTGCCGTTTGCCGATGACGGCCTGCTCATTACGACGATTCCCTTTAGTGGAAATACGGAGAACTGAGACGCAAACGCGCACGTGCGTGTGTTATGTGTGTTTGTGTGTGTGTGTGTGTGTGTGTGTGTGTGTGTGTGTGTGTGTGTGTGTGAGTAAATATTTTTTTTTTAATTTTATTTCTAAATTTTTCAAAATATTTTAAATAATTAATAAAATAATAATCAAAGAATCGAAATTTGTGAATTTTTTAACGTCCTAAAAGAATTATAATGTAAGGCAGAAACATATGACATGTTCTTACATAATTTCTTCAAAGGTTTCTCATATCGATATAAAAAAAAATTGTTCACAAATTTTACTTCTTTGGTTATAAAAAGAAAATATTTTAAAAGTTATGGTTCTAAAAAATTTTATAATACAAACTTATTTTGATAAGAGTAAGGCAACTCGACGTCCAAAAATATATTTTCTATCTATTTTTTTTATTTTATCTTTATATTTGACAAAATTTATATCTTCCCTTTGTAGTTATTAAATTTTATTATTTTTCATTCATATTACTATTAATTAATTTAATTTTTATTTATAATGTTATACGGAAACAAATTTTTATCACAATGCAAAAGATACGCATAATTCACATGTTTGTTCCTTGGTGGTTCACAGGTTTGTTCCATGATGTAGAACGTATGATACACTTGTAAATATAGACAAGTACAATAATTGCCAAAATAATTCGAGGCTTAAGATCGAATCTTGATCTTCGGTCTTTCCGCCGATGCTGATCCAATCAACTGATCGGTGGCAAATAATTCGCAATCACTTCCTACTTACTTGGCCTTCGTCTGTACTCGATAGTGCAAACGAATTTCCGTTATAACTAGATTTGATTAGCGATTAGTAGTTAAATAGATATTTTCTGCGAATTATTTGCCAATCGCCGCCGTATAATTAAGCGACGTTAAATTGCGACGACTTGTAAAAACTGAAACATAAAGACTGTTCTGAAAAACTGAAAACTGCCAACAGACTTAAAAATACATCACACAAATTTGAAGATACTCGTATACTCCGAAATCTGCCTACTGACACTGCCCGACAAAACTTGACATTTTTCAGTGATATATAGAACCAGAACCATATTTATCTTCTTCGACATGATATTTGAAGATTTCTTTCATTATTATCATCGGAAAAAACATATCTTTTTGTTGCCGTTTTTTACATTTGAAATGCATTTAAGAATGACCATACAATTTTCGTCGCGATTTTACGGGCTCTCTTCAACGATGACTTCGTATAATATTTTTCGGCGGGACGTTTTATAATCTAAAAAAAAATCGATCATTGGCGAATACGCGGAATATATCGTAATAATATATTTTAGTGAGTGACTGAATGAGAGAACGAATGATTGAATGTGTGAAAGCGTGTGTCTGAGAGAGAGAGAGAGAGAGAGAGAGAGAGAGAGAGAGAGAGAGAAGAATTTATTAATAATATACTTGTAAATCCGTAATTCTCGATCACATAGTGTCGGTGATCTATCACGGTTTTACCTAATTAATCAATGTAGAATCCTCGTGGAGGAATTATAATTGCTAGTCTTTAATTGTGTGATATGCGCTTGTAAATTCTCGCGCTCTATCGTTGACACGAATTTACACGCGCATTTCGCAAGAAGTGAATGCAAGAAATGAGTATATAAATCGATGAAGAGGTACTCAAAAGGCGAGGTGTATAATAAGTGTGAAAATATAAATTGCCATTTTTTATGTAGACAATATATTGTAATTATAATTATGTATTCATAATTACTATTATTTTATTGATAATTATTATATTGATATTATTATCGCTATTGTAAACTCTTGATTAGATTTGAAGCTCTTATTGTAATAATAGTAATTATAATTAATTATAATTAATTATGGCTAACTTTTAGAACTCTATTATACGTAATAGCAAATTATGATTGTAATAATTGCGGCTTTGATTTTTATACATAATATTTTATATATACATATTATAAGGAAGGAAAGATGATACACATACACACGATTACTCTTCAAGAGACGTAAGTGTATTTTGGTATAGAGCATGTATGCTATATTGTGTATAAGTGTGGCAAGAATAATTTTACGTATCCGGTCTGTACGAAACCGGAAGAACGAATTTTATCTTTGCGACTCTCGTTGAGTTGGCGATCCGTTTATTTTCTTTACGTTTTATTTCTCGGCAAACGAATATTAGAAAGAAAGGTCGTATTTAAGATGGATTGTATTTTCATGGAAATTACTTTCCAGGAGAAAATTTATACCCTGAAAATCGAAAAATTTGAACAGCAATTGTTTGTGATAGCTTACATAAGCTACCTTTGGCGAACGGACAATTATTTTTTAAGTTAATGGACATTTTTTAACAGGCCAGTAGCAAAAGCTTTCGAATTGTAATTGTAATCTCGTGGTAATCGTCTTCTTCGATGTGAAATTTTCGCAATTTATGATTCTCGAGCTGACGTGCAAATTGTATGAATATCGTTTATTTGAATGCAACTCGACCCATCTTCGGGGCGCCGTATTACGTCCTCAATTAAGGCTGTAAATAGGAAGTACCAGATATTCGTTGAGCCACGCGCGAACTCAAAGTTCCCAGTAACTTCCGACATTTAAGTGCCTAAAGACCCAGATATACGTCTATTCTCTTCGTTGTCTAGTTTCTACAGTTGGATAAGGTACTGCTTATCAAAATGACAACGACAAAAACTAATGCTTGTCTGTCGCGTAATAAATTTTTTTCGCGTCCGTCGCGGAATATTTATTTAAAATATTATAATAGACATTTCATAAAAATATGAAGATAAATTGCACTTTTCTTGATATTCCAATTGAGTAAGATGTACAAACGAGAGTAAGTAATTCCTTTTATATTGCATTCTTTGCAATATATCTACGGTACCTGTGAAAATATTGCAATAGTGTAAAACTTTTAAAGAGCAATTTTATTAGCTTCTCGCAAACTTTGTTTTTCGTATATTTATTAAATTATATTTTTAAGTTGTTATAAATTTTAATGAGTTGCTAAATGAACAATGATGTATATAGCATAGAACAATGTACAAACTATTAATCCTCTGATGCTTTCTGAAAATAATTTTAAAACATGCATCATTTTCTTGGTTTTATTTAAAAATCCATTTATTATAATTAAAAATGTTAAAATTTATCAATTTGCTGAGATCATTCTTCATTCTATGTCTGTTAGATTGCGCACTACTAATAATCAAAAAAGTCCTAGTTGATAGTCCGTCAGAGGGTTAAACAAAGAAGTTATGCTCTTCTATAGAAATAACAAACGATATAAAGCGCCGAAAATTGCAAGACCAAGAGAAGATGCAATAAGTAATGAAACGAACGTAATAAAAAAATCTATACGTATATCTCTACAAAAATGGAGCTTAGGGTATATACAGTAGAAATCATTGGCAGCGCTTTATCCAACTTCGCTAGTATTTACATCGCAAAGGACGAGAGACTGTCGCTCGACACCCTCAACAGATCTCAGCACTCCGGCGAAACGAACAAGGATCATTTATTTTTTAATCAAACTCACAGAAGGGCCAGCTCGTTTCCGTGGAGTGCGCCTAACGAATAAATAATTATATATTATAAATAAATAAATGAATAAATATAAATGCATATATATATACATATATATATATATTCAGATGCGCATGCGTGTACATACACATATGTAAATCTAACAATAAGTGCGGGAACCTTGAGGTGCGTGGGGCAACGAAAACAGAAAATCCTCGAAAGTGGAAGCGCCGGAACGTCGTCAGTCGATGTTTTTGTTTTTGAGGATGCAAGAGTCAATTTTTCGATTGCGTAAACAAAACCCCTGCATCACTGTAACATACCTCTATAGCACGTCTCATAGTTTAATTAGCCCTCGGGTTATCGGTCGTTTAAATTTTCTCAGGCACGAGGAAGCGATACCTTCAAATATATTTATTTTTCTGACTAGAAAATCGAGGGATTGAAACAGTGATAAGAGGGGGTAGAAAAAAAAGGGGGAAGATGATACATTTTGCAAGCGGTGTTTGGTAATCCGAGGGTTAAGACTGATTCTACAAACGCGTTATAAAAAATGCTAGACCGAGCATATTTTATAATTATACTGTCATTATTATTGTTTGTAATTATACGATTACTATTGAATTTGTTTTTAATAAACGGCAAGTGCCATGATTACATATATGGGCTGCAGTATGATCATTCTTAGCTAACTCCTGTCTTGATAAGTAAATGTTAAGTTTAATATTAAATAAACAAATCATAAATAAATTGTCTACAGGAATTATAAAAGGGTCATTCTTTTACTAAATAAATATTGATTTTATTATTATCAAGAAATTGGTTATCAAAAAATTGTTTGTACAATAAAAGAAGAATTGAATAACGTTAATAAAAAAAATTGACGAACAATTGACTTACAATAATAAACAAATGCGAGAATTAAAAGCGTCAGATAATAATTTTTTATTTTTGAATGAATGAACTAAAACATAATACGTTTAATAAAATACAAAACGAGATCGTACTGATAAAATGAATTAGTTCAATCTCAATTCAAAGATAACTGAAATTTTGCAGATGAATGAACTTTTTATTTCTCGTAATATAATAAAATAATTGTACAATACAATATAATTTTAATGTAATTTAATTTTAAAAAATATAAATATTACAAACAGTTTGGTTCTATTATTTTATTATTGTAATAGATAATTTTAGAGAAATTACAATCAGGTGCAGCAATGTTTATAATTTTGAATTTTTTTAGAAGAAGGCCGAAGTTTATCTACATTTAAACTTCTTCGTCACTGAAACCGAATATATCGTTTGCGTTTACGTTGCTATTATAATTGACATTACTATTCGTATTTTGAATGCGCGATTTGCGTAAACGTGAATCATCACTGCGAAAAGAACGTCTATGATGCCGTTTGGCATCAAGATTGGTGTTGAAATTTTCATTAACATTTACGTTTTTATTGGCATTCAGTGATCTCGCCGTGCCTTCCTTAATTTTCTTTTCTTGCTTTAGCTTTTTCGACATTAAGAGATATTGGATGTAGTTCTAAAAATTTAATGCTCTTTGAATTTTTTGTCTGTGATTAAAAAGTCTAAGTTTCTTAATTCAACAATAAATAAATCTGTATAAAAATTAAATAAATTAAATTTCATACTCTATTTGTCAAAAAATTATTATAGAGTAATTTTGTTGATATATATATATGTATATATATATATATATATATACATATATATATATCAACAAAATTACTCTATAATAATTTTTTGACAAATAGAGTATGAAATTTAATTTATTTAATTTTTATACAGATTTATTTATTGTTGA